TGCCACAGAGATGAAGTCTTCGATTCGAACGTAAAACTTCCATATATAATCAGTCAAAACATTATTTCAAATCATGACATTGGTTTATTAACTAATCAATGTGACTTATACAGTTAAGGATTTGGAGTCATTCAAGCATGTATCATACAAATAATGTTTTACTGCGGTTTTGAATGGTGATTAGCATAATCGATCTATAAGGTTTTTCAGAAATATGTTTAGCTCACTAGCATGTCCAGACAAAAAACAGTGAACCGAAGCCTCGATATGAGGCAGTTATAAGAAACGCAACACAATGTGACTTTCAGGGTACCAAGACTCAAATCGATACTCAAATACAGTGATTCCGTACCTGCTTCGGAAGCACCAGTCCCTGGTCGATAGGAGCGGCCCCGAAGATATCGGTAAGAACGCTCTGCGTGCTTGCAGTCGGAACGTCCATCATCAGACCAGGGACCGGAGAAGGAGTACTGGCCATGTTGTTTGCAGATGATCCCAGCTACAGCGTAAGAACTTGATGATGCGAAGGTCAACAACGCTAGTTCTTACCAATCCCTCAGAGCCCAAACCCAGAAGATCGTCCAGTCCAGATGATACGGGGGCAGGTGTATATGATTGTGCTGGCGCAGGACTGAGATCCAAGTTCAACAAATCAGCGATGAGGGAGTCCTGCGCTGGTATAACAGTCGGCTGTTCAGTCATCTTTTGCGGGGCCGTTGAAGCCGCGTCATTTTCCTCACCACCACTAAAGCATTAAACATTAGCATTAAACCCAGTCGATTAGTTATCGTGAAATGCTGAATTCCAATTTGAACGTACATGATCGTCTTTGTTTGTAGCGTCTTTCGCGTCACATGAACGTTCTCCATGAAAGCGCTTGGAGGCTTGTGATACACCGAAGCTAAGCTGCCGATATGACACATCAATTCGTTGAGGAGAGTCGGTTCCAGAAGATCGGTTTCTTCAGAAATTAATGGCTTTTCGGCAAGAACCACCTCTTTTGCAGCCGCAGGATCGGCTGACAAAAGACGCCAATAAATGTATCCGCGATCTCGCAAATCTGGGTTGTCACTGTCCTGAAATGACATAGACACTGAACTAAAGTGATGAGAATGAATAAAAAATAAGCAAAACAATATAATCACGGTAAAAATAATGATACCGGATTGAAACAGCGAATGCAGCGTAAAGAAAAAAAACAATTTCTCACTTTACACCAGCAGCTCTAATGATTGCCCCCTTGCTTGAAGACGCCTAGGGGAACCATTTAAACGGGCCACGGCTCCATGATATTTAAGAGCCCGCAGCGCATAGGACGCAAGGCCGCGTCTCAAACACGGGTTGAACAAAAATATGTTCATAGAAAGAACACTGCTACGATACGTAGGAAAAGGAGCGATAAACAGGAATCACGATATCTGGGGAACTTTCGATACAGCCATTTACATTTATTCTATGAACATATTTTTGTTTAACCCATGTTTGAGACGCCGTCCTGCATACCATGCTCTCCAGAAACTTCAATACAAAGGAGTCGCGGCCTCCTTAAATGCCCCCCCCCTATGCGCATAGAAGCAAGCGGGCAGTGCAAGAGAGCTGCTGGTGTAAAGTGAGAAATTAATTTTTCATTCTTTACATTGTTCATTCACCGTGTCAAT